AATTCTTTTCATTACTATAATTTTTATAATTCTTTTCGTAATTATAATTCTTTTCGTTACATACTATAATTTTTTTCATACTGTTTTGACAATCCTCTTATTTTCATACAAATAATACAAATAATACTAAAAATAAAATAAACAAAATAAAAAATAAATCGAATACTGTGCTACGTACGTCAGATAGTAACATATCAGAGAGGAAAATTTTGACTATTATAATGTATATGACTCTGGATATACCCAATATAGTAATTATACATTGCGTCACTTCATTTCAGGGTTGAATAAACTAAATATATATATTAAGAAGTAAACTAACTAAAAAAAGAAAATAATGACAAAAATTAGAAAGTGAAAAAAATTTGTCGCAAAATCTCTATTTCAGAGGTTCCAAAACTCTTTATAATATATGCAAAACAAACTTATAAAGCAGAATACAGTTTGCATCTAATAATACCGTAAATAATTAAAAATGTAACAACAATTATGAAGGCTGCTAAAGTCTCATTTATCAGATTTTTTCTAACAATGTCTAGTATTACCAAATTTAGTTAGTACATTAATTATTGTGTATTTCAAATTAAATTTTGCGAAACATTTATTATATAAGAGAATGATCAGCTTTTTTTTTTTCTTGATTCAATTCACTTAAGTTTTATTATCATTTAATAAAGAATCAGTATTACATACCTTATTGCTTCACTTATAATGACAGAAAAATGTACCTCTTGTTCTTGTCAGTGTCTATCTGAAGCTTTTGTATATAATAGAAAAATATATAAAACATGTGCAGATTGTTTGGTTAAAAAAGCAAACCAAAGAGCCATTAAAAATACTATATTAGGTGGTGATACTTAAAATGATATTGAATCAATTTCACTGAAGGATTTGAGCGAATATATTACAGAATCAATTAAAAATCTTGAGCCTGGTACTAGACTTTTTCTTATAGCACAAGTTGAAATCACCGATATCTCTATTTCAGATAATCAAAGTTTTAAAATGATAGCAAATATGATCGCTCATAATATTAAAGAAGGCGATGGTTATACTTGAACGTATATAGTTAAACATAATTAGCAATAAAATTATTTTATATTAATAATTAACATATTTAAAAATCTTATAAGAATCAAAACAGCACCTCGACTTTCAACTTGTCATGAGAATGTCAATACTTTTTATTTTGGCTGTTCTCAATTTTATGAATTAGCATGTGATTATAAAGAGTCGAATCGTCAGAGAATGGATCGTTTTGATTGTCATGGAAAGTTAACACTAAAAGTTGATATTCTTGCATCAAAAATAATTGTAAAGCTTAGACATGATATGAGTGCGTAAGAATGAAAACCTGTAACTGATCATAGTAAATCATTATAATCAGTTCCAGGTTTTTATTCTCATGCACTCATATCATCCATAAGAGGCTAGTTAACGTCACAACACCAATGGAAATTAAACAGACAATTATAACGAATCTTCACTTGGATCCTACATAGCTTTGAATCTACCTTCGTGATAGATTTGATACATCAAAAATTACAATACAACAAATCTATTATTGGTGGTCTTTATTTTTTCAAAATTTTTACAAGTCAGATAAGAATCATATTATATCAGCACATAATTTTCTCTTATCAGGTCATGCATCTGGCTATGAACTTTGCTTTGAGTTGATAAATCATCAAATAACAGCAATCGGGTTTACAACACCTTTACTTAATGCTAAGAATAATCAGAGTGTTACTGAAGTCTATTGTGATGTGACCTACAAGACTGCAAAAGAAAGATTCGAGTTATATGGACTCATCGGTAACTTTGAAAACTCAGGATACCCATTAGCATATCTTATTTTAGATACTACAGGTAGGATAGGCAATTTTTATATATTAGTAATAATAATATCCTGATCTGTTGGGAATTAGCAGAAATGAAGTTTTGTTTATTCACATGTGGTCAGGATATTATTAATTAATACTTCTGTGATCTTGATATAGTGATCAAGGATTATTATAATAATAATACGTATGAATAAACAATTCATATTATTTATATTATTTTTTTTTTGCTTATCCCAATTACAGGAGTTTCTGAAAGTAATTCACAAAATGAAAATCGAATGTATGCACTCTCAGGTTTTTTTAATTCAATCTATAGCCGAGGTTTATATCTTAAGTATTTTTACACAGATAAAGATTTTGCCAAAATAAATTCAGCAAAAGCTACCTGGCCTGAAACAACTATACAACTGTGCCTGTGGCACATGGAAAAAGCACTAAATTTAAAACTTAAGAGTAAAAAAAAAGTTCAGCATATCCATTATCAAGTTGAGGATGCAATCGCAGAATTCGACTTTATTGATCCAAAATTTAAACCAAATTTGGAAAATTATAAACCAGAATCTTATGAAATCTGTCCACAAAATCTTAGACAACATATTCTTAATCTTGTTAAAAAACAC